CCGAGATCTCTTTACTATCTCTAATGCATTTTATTCAGAAGATAATTTCAGACATCAGAGCGCTTGGATATATTCCTGATTTAACTGTAAGATATTGCCCCTAAGAATACTGTTGTCTGAAAGTATTACTGAGTCCTATTTCTTTGAATTGCATATTTGTTCAGAATACTAAGTCAAGTTGATCCATCTTAATTTGTAAAGGAAATTCTAGGAAACAAAAAGGAGACTCTCATTGTTCTTTAAAATTATTTCTCAGCATAATGAATAGCTTGCAAGTTGTGCTTGAATATGGTGCTGTTAGTGCTATCCTGACTTGTAATAATGCCTGTCATACCTTTAATACAGGCTAAGCCGGCAGCTTTTCTAGACCTTTTCTGTGGAGCATGGTCTGTAGTCGCGTTTCCTAATCTCTAGTGCATCACATCTAGGGGGAATAATTAATGACATAAGCTTTTTAGTATGTTTCCTTCTCCTACCTGTGCCATTAGGTATGTCTTAAGGCAGTACATATGCGTTCTGCTTAATTGACACTTTCTCCTTGGTTAAAGCTAATCATGGTATTACAGGAAATGACCATGTAACTTGAGCATAGTTCATATCTAATTCCGCAGGTATAGCCTACTGTTTAAGTGAAACATTTAAACCTCTTTACTATAAAATATATCAAATAGTTCTGTTGGATGACTTTAAAAGATCAAATAATACCAAACTACTATTACCGTGGACCTCAGTATAGTTCCTGAGCACACTTGAATTATTTTGTCTACACCATCAGACGTGTTAGAGGCTTTTAAATGTGCTGGATTGAGAAGAGCTTACGGATCTTTGTAGACCTGCTGACTGTAGAACTGGATGGTTAAAGATGTGGATTTTCTAGGGAAAAGTTTACTCATAAACCAATATTGAGGACCAAAGGCAGTCTTAAAGGATGTTTGTTCTAATTAAGGGTATTTTAGCTGGCAGATGGCTTACTTTCTAAGTGAAAATCCTAATTGCTGTGAGTCATAATTGATGACCCTTGGTTACCCTTCCCTCTATCTTCTCATGCCTCTAGTGGATTAAATACATATTGAGGACACAACAGTTTTAATAGTATGCTATGTCTTAATTATAATGGCTTATGTGTAGTGCTTTCAGTCTTGGAAGTGCTGAACAAATCTTACTAATTAAAAGTTTGCATTTGCATAGGTATACTTATCCTGTGAATGTACAGTTTCTCTTTGAGACTGGTTTTGAACAATTATGGCTCTTAGTTCTTGGCACTGCCACTTAAAATGCTTCAATTTTCCTTGAGAAGTTGACATGCAAGGAGTTGAACCTGTCAGCCTCTTAAGACTCTTATCAGTGTAACTGAATCATATGGCACAGAGTGAGAAACTTTGACAGTAAAAACAAATGTTCACTATCAAATGTTCATTCAATAATACAAAATACTCTGCTTATAATTGAGTTCCAAGCTTAGCAAGCAGTTCCAAGTGCCAAAGTGAGTCGTGTTCTGTCTACTTCTGCTCATGGGATGCATGAGGAAACAGAACTGTGATGGTTGATCTTTCTTATACCTGTTAGTTGATGGAACCCTGCCTGTTAATCAGTGTTCTGTGGTCAAAAATATGCATATGTGACAGATGTATATCTTTTTGTGTTGTTTAAATATGATTTTCAGAGGAAAAAAATCTCTTCATGTGAACAAGAAACTGACTGCCAAGTACTGAGAAAAGAAATTCATAAGAAAAATCAAAAGGTCCAGGAATATAGACTGATATCTTTACAGGGCTTTTAATTCAATCAGCATACAGAAGTTCTGCATGATGGATTGCAGACCACTGAATACTCTAATGCCACACAGATGTTGTGATTTGACAGTGACTTTAAAGGAAGACTGAGCTAAGTAGACCAAAGTTCTGTATCCCAGAACACAGTAATGCAGGCTGTCAGATTGCTGTCAGGTTATCTGAGTGATGTAAATGTGGAGGAGCTAAGTCCTCCCAGCTGGACAAAGAAACAATTGTTCTATGGCATGTAAGTATACCCTGTAAACCTGTATATATGTGAGGGACGCTACCAAATGAACCATCTAGACTCTACACACAGGAAGCTAGAGAAGGTAGTAGAGTTCTTTGGGTTGGGGCATTTACAAATAGATTTTTCTAAAACCACTGTCACAAGGGAAGGCTGTTGCTGTTTCTCCCCTCCCTGCCCCACATATTAGTCCCATAACTTTCTAACTTTCTGGATAATCTCTGTGCTATGGCCATGGAAAAAGGCAAATGCAGTCCTAGGGATCATCAGAGGATGTATTAGGGTACTAGTGATGCTATGGTCAGTCTTGTAAGACTTCATATGGAATATTGAGTACATTTTCATTTTCAAGAGAGAAGCTTACACTGGAACTGCTTATAATGTGATTGTGTAAGACTGGACAAAAAATCAACTTGTATGCCATTGATATGTGTAACTGCATGCAAAGAGAGGAACTAGTTACTCTGCTGTGAGATGAAGCATGTGGTTAATAGAGTGAATTTCTTGGTCCATCTTTAATTTGTGAATCATAATTTGCAAAGTGAAGTTTTTAGAATAAGGTGAAAGTCTGCAACTTTTCAACATAAGAATTTTTACAGTAACTTAAAAATAATGTTCAGTGATAAACATGTAGTTGTCTGTCAGTTTGTGTCTATCACAAAAATCTCCAGGTGAAATGCTATTAGGCAACCAATGCTTTGGAAGATTTTTCTCAGTATACATACATGGCACTAAGAAATCTAGCCTTTCATGAATAAAAGGACCTTAAGTGTTTCCTCTGTGCTTTTTGGGGGGGGAGGGGAGGGAGGACAACTGCAGTTGTCTAAATTCATTTGAAGCTGATTCAAGCTGGGAACTTAATTGTTAATGTTTGAGAGCATGCATGAACAGTTCTTGTCTTCATCTTTACTAAGTGTTCTCTGTTTCTGTATTGACTACGAGACGTGGACTCTAATCTAGAAAGCACTGCTTATTCTGTAGAAACTACAGACTACTTTCTGTACCACTCTGCTACTGTTGTGATGTGTTTTTATGTGTATCAGGAGAATTGAATTAGTGGATTTTTTTCAGGTAGGTTGAGGGAAAGTATAAGGATTACATCCTGGCATGGTGGTTAAGACTGTACTCAACTGGATCTCTCCTTTCAGGGTCAACAGTAGCCCAAGTCTTAGCTTTCACTGTACTGCATAGCTTATCCTTTTCCTTGCTTTGTGGAAAAATAAGACTTGTAATGTAGGATAATGGAGAATATACCTTTTCTTTCATCTCTGCTGTAGATGGGGGGAAATATATTCTGAGAGTAAAATTTAGTAATTCTTAAATGGTTGATAAAATGAAATGGTAATACTGCAAGCTGTTAAGCAGAGCTCATCTTAAGATGAGATTTTATGACCAGCTAAAGGCTGCAGGCAACTAGTCTGCCACTGGTGCTGCTTACAGTTGTCTAGAGTCATGATTTTCTTTTGACAGTCTTTGCAGTATATAATCTTGTTAGTACTGAACAAAGTGTTAATTTGTTTCCCTTTGACAGTCTTTTTTGCAAACTGTGTTCTAATTAAGTAGATATGACAGTTATATTGATGTTACGTTGCTAATCATTAGACTGGGAAAACATCTATTTTGATGCCAAGTGACTTTAGATTATATAACTCCAAATATATGTCAGAAAGGATCCTTTGTGGGAGGGTACTTCTTCCTCAGGTTCCATGCCTAATGTTACTAAAACCATTCAAAAATATTGAAGGTGAGATTTTTTTTTTTTCCAAAAACATTTAATGCTGGTCTAATGTATATTTCAAAAAAATTGATCTTTGAGTTAGAACTTCAGGGGTTCTTAAAACAATTGCACTTTCTCTTCAGCATGGGGAAAATGATTCTTGTTCTTTGAAACTAGGTTAGCTTGGGGAGGCTGAAATAACAAAGTTTAGAGGTCTTTGTGGGTACAGTACTGCAGAGAGATAGAAGAAAAGGTCCATTTAAACGTGATCTGGTTTGAATGGCAGATAATGGCCATGTTGAAATTAGCAAGTACCTTGATACAGAAGGAACAAATCAATAGATCAAAGCAGCGGTGTTACATGCGTTTTGAGTGTTTTACCTAGGCCTGGATCTAGTCTGCCCACAAATGTGGCCAGTGTGTTTGTGGCTCAGGACTGTCTGAAGGACTAGTCACAGGTTGAGGCCCCCGAGTCTTCATTAGCATTTGTCGTTGCTAGCGTGCATGGTAGAAAAGCTTCTGGTTTAGTTCAGTTCAGAAGGAACGGAGTTTTAGTTCACATGCGCTAAAACCGCTCTGCAGACCAAAGTGACCGAAGCTGTAAGTAGGGCTGATTAGGGCTTTTGCATCAAAACTGTGATACTGCTCTGAACTAGAACATGAGTGTAGATGCAGCCAACGAAGTTGAAGAGTCGTCTTTGTCCATAATTTTGCAAGAGCATGAGAGATTTGAAAACACCTGGTTGTGCTTAGGCACTTGATGGTAGCAATCATTTTATTAAAATCAACTTGTTTTGTTTATAAATTGATCAGAAAGGGTCTCTGAATAGAGTTCCGTTTTTATGCTCAATCTAGAATGTGCTGCCCTTCCCTCAAATTATATTTGAATTCCATTGCGTTCTTTGGGGTGCAGGGGGAGAAGAAAAGTTAAACTCCTTTTGAGCTGATTTTAGGAGCAGATTATTTTAATTAGTGTGAAAGGTGTTCTATGAAAATGAGAGCTGATAGCTTTGAGAAGGGTAGGGAAAAATGTTTTGTTTTGTATTATGGTTGTCAGCTATTTTGAACAAGAATATTTAACCACTTAAAACAGTTGCTAAAATACAACATGGGTAAAACTGATGCTGATGAGGCCTTCCTATAAATAATACATAGTAACTTTAAACTTCCAGTAGTTCAACCGAAATGTTATTTGTGTTAAGTTTATATGCTTAATAACATACCCTTCTGGAACTTTTTTTAACAAATGCACTCTTTCATGCAGTCCTTCCAGGGAAGCCAGGGACGAGCCTACCTCTTTAATTCTGTGTAAGTACCTCTTTAATTCTGTATGAATATGTTATTACAGTTAAGCATGCTGCCTACAGAGTGTAATTTTTTGTGTGCTCCGCAAGTGGAAAACAGTAGGAATTAGCAACTGCGATTTTCCTTGCTCTTTTAAACTATGTTTTTAATAGCTATTGCTGGTGAGTAAAAAGCCACTGAGTTGATTTTAAATGCCCTAGACACATAAGTTTGTCTTGTATATTAAGCAATTCTATTAACAGCCGAAGGTTTGGAGGAGGATGTTAATGTAAAATTCCTTTTGTGTATGTAATGTTAACTATCTTGGGCAGGAGTTGCCATTCTGATATATTCTAGAAGTCCAAGTGCATTGCATGACTAAATCTGCTGTAGACAACTCTGCTATAGTCTAAAGGAGAATTTTTCAGTGTGATAGTCAGATACATTTACAGGCTAATGTTCCATTACAATTAGTATGTCTTAAATGACCTTGACTATTGCAAACCTACTAGAGGCAAAAGGTCTTTATGATCTAATCAAGCCTAATATTTGCAGTTTTAGGCATGTGCTGTGCAAGGCTTTCTTTGAATTTGCTGTGGATGTATTTTAAGTTTCTAATATGTAGAATTGCATTTTTGTCTTTATTTTAAACCTGTTTATTTTGTTACAGTATTTGGAAAAAAATGCAGTTAAGTGACTTGGTCTATAATAGACCAGGATAATGGAACTAGAACGGTAAAGGATTTGATTGCAAATTCTTGAAGTTCCTTTTATATGGAGTTGCTCAGTGGAGACTTGGGACTTCTAGTACAGTTGTAGTACTAAGAATCTAGTACTACAACAGCAAAAATAGCATTACACAAGAACAAAGTTTTGCCATCTGCAAACTTTGTTTAGTCTTGTCTGATCTTTCCTGTATAGACTCTTAGTCAGGAAAAAATATTTTGATGGAATATTTCATGGGGTAGCTTATTTTTTATATTTGCTGTTTGTTCATCATAGCATTGTCTGCTGATTTGTAGCAAAGAAATATTTATGAGGCTTTTTCCTTGCTGCTATTTTGAAGTTGGTTCTAATTTAAATTCCTGGTGCTGATTTACTGGTACAGGCTTCTATTCTGGAGGTCACAAATTGTTTTTGAAGAAAAGCCTGAAACTGAAGAGGTATTCAATTATTGCTTAGTGTTCTGTTCTCTGAAAGCTTAAATACTTAACATGTCCTGCTTGATGGGAGTAAGCTTCCCTAACAGAGCAACGTAGACCAATCACTTGAAAAATGAAAGTTGCCAATCAAACTTCTTGTCCTTTAGGTCAGTGTAAGAGTAGAAGTTATTTTTAAGTGTTGAATAAGATAGGCAGATGTATGTGTCTTATGTATGTATATAAATTTTTTAACTAACCTTTTGTCCTCTAAAAGAAAGGTGGGTGGCAGATTAACCACAGGAAAATGCTTTCTTTTTTTTTAAATGTAGAATAATTTCTCTTTTTTGCAGGGTAAATGTGGGCTGTGGTCCAGCAGAGGAGAGAGTCCTTCTGACAGGTTTACATGCTGTAGCAGATATCTATTGTGAAAACTGTAAAACCACTCTTGGATGGAAATATGTAAGCAATATACCTAAGCTTTGATAAGTGTTGAGTAGGCTAGGTGTTACTGGTACTTTAGCTGATGTTGGGTCTAGTGCTTTTCCATCTATTGGACAATAAGTAGTATAGTTTTGCTTCCATTAAATCTGGAATGCTGTAGCAGATGTATATGGAGGATAGTAAAGCTAGCATGAGTTATGTATGCTTTTACAGCTATCTAATACTACTTCTCTAGTACCTTTTTGGAATGTTACCAGCCACATACACTGAACTGGATGGGAAAAGTTGTCTGAATAGGTTTTAATTTTCTTGATTTTGGAAGTTGATTCATAGACCAGAAATGCAAATTATGATAAATGGTACTGAGCGCTTTTTCCCTGTTTACAACTAATATGAATTTGGTTCTGTGGTTTGAAAAGTTGTCTCTACCACTCTTGCAAGTTTGAGACTTTGAAGTGTTAGATTCTGGATGTTGTGCGCATAATTTTCACTGGTTCAGTACAGTTTCAGATCTTCTAGAAAGAAGTGGGCCTAATGCATTCCCTCTGAATTATAGAGGACAGCTTCCAAAGTTTCTCTCATTTCCCTTATTTTTGGGAGTAAGGAAACTGAGCACTGTGTTTCCCGTCCTTTGATTAAAAAACAGTGATAGAACATGGAAAGATCTAAAGCAAGATGTGCTATACAGTGGATTTGCTGACTGTGGTTATGAGAAACTTACTCCTCCTCTTCCTCTCTTTCCTTCTCCGTACCCCGATCCTGCATAATAAAGACAGGATGTTAACTAGAATGTTTACTGTTCTGATAGTAAAAGCCTTCGTTAGTGCAATAGCGAAACACTTCAAAGAAAGTGAAGGATCAAAGTTTCAAGTGTGGTGTTTTTTTCCTGTTTACCTCTATATATAAAGAGGTTAAATAGGCTGTACTATTTTATTTTCAATACAAAAGGCAATACATTTTCTAGGCTGTTTTGTCTCTAGCAAAACCCTGAATTATTAAGTACAGCATAGGAGACAGCATGAAAAATTTTCTCTCTGCTTAGTGCCCTGAGAGCATGCATTGGTTTGACATCATTGGGACCTCGTGTAGAACAGGGTGCCAACAGCTAGAAAAGAGCTGCTATTCTTACCTCTCCCTTCGGGACTTGCTGACCCATTTCTTGTGGGTATATGGCTTGGTATGAGATTACCATGGATTTATCTATTAAGATGTCAGAGGAACTGTACTTCTTTAGACAGATCTCTGAAAGAAATTGTAAAGCAGCCTAAGGAAGTTTCTCATTCACTCAGTCAGGTACAGGTTGTAAGATAGGTGTTCTTTGTCAAGTCACAGAATGGAAGAAACTATGTAGTCATTTTGAGGCTTCAAGATAATCAATCATCAGCCCTACAAGCCCATGCAAGATTGGCTTAGTGTTTTTAATCTGGCTATGTTGTGAAATCTATACTTTTAGTAACAGTGGAAGGATGGAAGGAGGATGAAGATACTCAGTATTTTGGTTGTTGCTTGCTAATAATTCGCATCCTAGTGACTTTAGGATGTACAGTTAAGATCTGTTGAGAAATAATTACAGAAGAAGGATGAGGAAATACAGCCCAAGTCAGAATTTCTCTAGGGAAGATTTGCCTCAGCAAATCTATATTTCATAGTATATAAACAGACTGATGCATAGACCTTGAATCTGAAGAAAAGTACCAAGTAAATTGTTGTTTTCCAGAGAAGTGTGACTCTCACTTGAATTATCCTAAGTATGTTCTTGGATGCTCTAAAGACTGCCTGGAGTAGTTATAAAAAAAAATATTTAGGTGAATCATACTTAATTATATCATGATGCATATAATTTTTGTATTTGATATTGTGGACTGTGTGTAATACAAAAGACAAATCATATATCCAGAAAGCTTGCTTCATGCAGGAAGGAGGAAAATAAACACAACTCCAACAGCTTCACAAAATGTAGGCGCCAGTGTATCTAGCTTTTGTTTTTAATGCAAGTTTGATATTTAAAATACTTAGCTTGTCAAAATTAATTTCAATATCTTTTTTCCTTCTTTCTAGGAACATGCTTTTGAGAGCAGTCAGAAATACAAAGAAGGAAAATTTATCATTGAACTTGCCCACATGATAAAAGACAATGGCTGGGAGTGAATCATAACGTTTTTCCTTCAGTTTGGACAATATTCTGTGGGACGTGCTTTATAAAGACTAACGCAAAGTAAAAGAAGATCTTGGCTAAAGTGGCCCTGAGAATATCACTGAACTCTGAAACCTCACAAATGAGTAGTGTAGTGTAAGTGGCTATTTCAGGCCATGTTTGCCTTTTCTCCTTGTGTAAGTTCCCTCTTTTTGTATGTGTATTATTGTGTGAACGGTTGTTTTGGAACTTTTTGGATGACCTTTTTCTAAACTCTCTCAAACTCTAGAGAAACAGTTCACTAATAGAAAACAGATTTTTCCAGTTAGCGTCTATCTCTGACCTATGCCTTTAATGCTACCTTTTGCTGTGCATGCTTCTTGCCTAAACACCTACACTCCAATCCTGTAGAAGTTCTATATCTGAGCAGTCCTAACGAATGTATGGGATGGGGTGCTTTTTTTATATGTAGCAATTTCTGATGTATTTGGCAGTGAAAGGGATGCAGTATTGTAATTATTAATTTCTGTTTTAAATTTGAGTGTACCACAACCTGTGTACATCTTGTAGGCGAGTTGGTTAAAGGTACAGTGCTCACTTTAAAAACATGTCAATTGCACTGACTGAAATTAGCAGATCTTAACTTTTCTGTTAGGAAGGGATATGCTAATGGCTTGGTATCTTAATGAAATATCTTAGAAGGATTTTAAATCAATAATGCTGTAGAATACGTTCAGTTAAGACCAAAACATTACTTAAGGAGTTTGCTGGATAAGGAAGGAATCTATAAAAATACAGCTTGCAAGATCAAATGGCATGAAACTATATGCATCTTCTATTTTGGATAAAAAAAATTAGTCAGTGTATTTTAAAAAAAGTTTTGGTACTGTACTGTACCTTTGCCAGTAACAGGGACTTGTGCATCGGTAAAGTTTTATGGCTGGTTCCATGTAGCTATATAGCCCTAATGCGCTGGACAAAGAGGTTGATATAAAAAAAAACTTGTGTTCTGCTTTTGCTACATTTGAACAAAAATGATTATTTTTGTGAGAAATGGCCAGAGCCTATGAGATGAAAATTAATATATTATCTTTAAAAAAGAGGGGTAATAAGGCAGGGAAGTTTGATTCATTTTTTTCCCATAAAATAGAAAAGCAAGATTTTTTTTAAATGTGAGGGAGGGGAAAGGGGTTTCTTGGTTTGCTGGCTAAATCACCCCCAAGTACCTTTTTATAACAAATTTATATAAAACTCCCCTTCTCTCTTGTTCTCCCACTGTTTAACTGGAATGACTAAGGAGAGAAACTTTTAGAAAGTGTATGCACAATATTAACTGTTGGTAGCTGTGTATGCATGTTCTCAGCAACTTTGGAAGAAGTGCTCTGTGTAAGTTTAACTTTATTTTCAAATTAAACGGTCTATGAAGACCTTTTGTATTTAAATCCTTGTAATGCTTGAGGAAAACCTTTAACACTACGTAAGTACTATAACCGAATGATATGGAAGCCTTGCAATAAAAAATCCTTTTCCTTCAGTAACAATTCTGATATGGCGCCTGTGGAGCTTAGTCATGGGTGCCGTTGCTGCTGCTGTTCTGGTTATGGGAATCTCCAGTAGGCTTTCTGAACTCTACTGCACTTTAGAAATTTTGTCATGTTAAAAATTATGCCAATGGGTAGGGGCAATACAGATTTTTAAAACCAGCTTTCCAGTATCTTTGTGGAGAGGGAGGGAGGGAGTTCTGCAGTGTGTAAGCATTCATCTATGATGCAGGCTGGCTAAACTGCATTCAAGATGTTGTCATGATCTATGCCTATGAAATGTTAAAATTAAAGAAGTAGTTAAAGCTATTGGGTTTCAGTCCAAAGACCTGATGTGGTACAGTAGTGTCCAGTTTAGATTTTGTGGCTTATATGTTACTACTTTAAGCCTGATCTTATCTGTAAGCATAAAGTCTCCTTTTTAACAATGTCACTGATGCAAGATGGGCTTTGGTGTTGCCTGCCTCTTGATCTTTTCTGACCTGGAATCCTTGGGATTTTATTTTCCTCTGTAGTAATGTGTGTTGCCAACAAGGAAAGCGCTAACACTACTATCAGCAGAAAGTTTGGCTTCAAAGTCCACTTGTAATGTTAATACTTATGAACAGGCTTATATGAAGTTTGTGCATCTTTGGGCTTTTGTTTCCTGGCTACAGGCTTATTGAAGCAGTACACTGGACTGAAGACAAAATAGCTGCTTTTCAATAGAGTTGGAATTAATTAAAATATGTAAAATATTAAAGATTTTTCTCTAAAAAGTTGTGGTTTTGGCTATCTTGTTAGGGAGTTAATGCTGTCTGTAACAGTCTGATTCTTACTTAGAAATTCAACCTCTTTTTTCAGTGCATTATTTATATTTCAAACTGGACATTTTCACCAAAACCTTAATTAACTTTGATGCCAAAGGTTGGGACTTCATCAAGTGCTTAGCATGTAGAACTTCAGACTACTGGCATAAGGAGTTAATGATCTATATGTGATATTAATGGCTTTTAAGAGAATGAAATAAAGCAATATTCTCATTGGTCTTTTAAGAGTGGAAGCTTAGAAGGAGTAAAGAGTAGAACTAATACAGAATTGCTATTACATGCTACCATGTAACAATTCTTTAAGCTCATTCTATTGAGGGAATGTGTGAATTTTTTTCCTGTGTCGCTTAGCAGCATCAATAAATTATTTTCTCCCTTTGTGAAGATTTGGAGAATTCTTGTTATTGGTTTTGGTGAAAGTAGAATCCAGATAGTAATGGCTGCTGGCTGATGCGAGGAGGTCAGTCTGGTCACTGAACCCTCCAGCAGTCATTTGAAAGAAACTTACTTGAAGAAAATTTTACTAAAGCATTTTCCCTCTAACCAATTTTTGTAATATATTAAAGATTATATTTAAAGTTTGTATGTGTTTGCTCTGGGCAAGTTTACTTCCCCTCCTACTTGAGCACTTTTGTTACTTGTACTGGTTATTTTTATTGTTGGTCTTAACAATTATTTTGTATTTTGTTTTTTTTACAAACTGTAACAAAAAGCTTTTGTGAACCTTTGTTTCTTGCTGGCTCTTTCTTGGACCAAATGAACTGACTATGAGCTGGCTTAGAAATGTTCATTGGGATGCATAGGAATTTGCTAGCAAAAATGTATGTGTATTGAAAGATTTTTTTTCCTCTGAACCTCTAAAGCTGTTCCTGTTCTGAAGTAATTAAACATTAATTGATGTGACTTTTGTAATCTGACATTTTCTCTTTGGGTCCAAAATAGTGTCTGTAACACTACAGACACTACTACTGTTCCAGAACTGAGTGTGCCTCCAAAACACTAGAATTATTTCTCTGGCTGATCACTCTAAGCACCTTTTTAACTAATGAAAGGCAGTGCTGCCATCTACAAAAATCCTGTTAAGTTGCAAAACTTACTATGAAATAGCTGCAGAAAATAGGGAGGAATTGACACATCAACCTAACCTCAGTAACTTTATCTGCCAATAAAGAGGGCCAGCATATGAATTTCCTTGTTCACTGAGAGGTATACAATGATAAACTATATTAACAAAGTCTGTTATAATTCGGTCTTAATGTCCCACTAACAAGGACTAGTTTAATTGCCAATCTGAGTGGTGTGCCTTGCATGCCTGCAGTTTTTAGCAATATATAGGAGAAGGGAAATGAGATTGATTTGAATTAAAATTTGGTCTCAGAAGTGCTGACAAACAGTCATCAGGATGTCCATAACCAGATGGTCATCCATATTTATTGGTATGTCAAGTTACTGAGTTAATACTACATACTGTGTTTGGACTCATGCTTCCCTCCAAATAATGCTTTTAAAGAGGTTTTTCTGCATGCTTATCTCGGCAGTCTCGACTGCAACAGCAGTTCTACCTGAACTAGGATACCTAGAGAGTCACAAACCAATTTCTAACACCTCCATTCTTTGATAATGGAGATGAATGGAAGAAGCTGTCAAATTGTTGGTAAACTTTTTGAATGCTTTATTGTACTTCATTTAGCACTCATGTAAGTCAAACAGCAGTATGAACAGCAAAAGGAACAGATGTTTCAGAGGTTTCTTTCAAAAGGACTGTTACAAATGGTTTAAGGCCTAAAGCATGAGTCATAAACAGCAATTGAGTTGTGCCTCATTGTTTCTTAAATTCTTTACAATGCTTTCTTTTACAGGTGACATGGCTGTGTTGCTGTTTTGTCCTAGCAATACTGTACATCATTTGTTGTTTCACTATATTGTATCTACTTGAGGTATCACAATAAAAGCTTTTAATTGTTTTGTTGAGTTTACTTATCTTTGTGCTGTCTTTTCATGCCAATTTAAATTTATTTTCCTGCCTATTTTCTCTCATAAGGTCAGAGAGAAAAGCCAGTGCTCTTAGTTGCTCCTGGAAACTTCTGTATGTGGGCTGAATTTGACTTCATGTGTGATTTTTTTCAGAATGTTGCTAAGCATTTTGTTTGTACTAATCTCCTAAAATACATGTAGTTAAAATGAGTTCTACTTTATAGAGCTCTTTCCCATTTTGAGCTATTTGATAAAACTTCAGCAAATAAAGTGCTTTTAAAGAGGCAGTCTGTACACACCCTAAAAATAACTCACAGATAATATTGGGAAGTGTGAGCATGTTTTCTGTTGGATTATTCTGGTCATTTTGAGAGCACAGCAGTGGTCTGTTATTTCTGCTTTGGTTAGGAGGAACTCTTGTGGTTCCTCTAATCAGACCAACAGTCTTTTCACATGTCAGGGGAATCATGACCCCACTCTCTCAGTAACACAGATCTGGTGAAAGGTAGTCTTCCCCATTCAAGAGCTCAAATCATAGTAGAATTGGTATTGAATAAAACTGAGTCAATCCATGTAGCTGAAAGAAGTCTGCTGCATTCCTAATTATGAAGGACCCACCAACATAAGTACCAACTTTCTTGCCCTAAAAGTCATGCTGGTACATCACCTGCTGTCTGTAGCTATGGCATCAATGTTCTTGCCAAAGTGCATTGTATCAGCCTGTCTACATAGGCTGTCGATCCATTGCAAAAGCAATCACGTTGGTCAAACATGGTCTGCCCTTGTTAAAAGGTGTAGATAGTTCCTGGTTATCTTTCTGTCCTTTCATGTGTTTTGAAATGGGTCTAAGAGGGGGGGCTGTGTGCTCTGAGATTCTCCTCCTTGCTGCCTATCCCTGCAATAAGTTACTGAATATCATTCCTATCCTGACCCCCGCATACCCCCCTTCAGAAAATCTGGTCTATGCTACTCATAGGTTCAGTAAATTACTAGACTAAGCAAAACAATCTGTTTTCTCTTGAGCATTAAACTGAAGGCAGTCATACTGATCTTAATGGTTGTAATTGCAATAGCAAATGTAAACTAAACTTTATTAATTTGAAAGACTTTATAGATTGGAACCAGTATATGTCAGTTTGAACAGATTCCCCCTAAAGTTCTGTTTACTGATGGTAAAAATATCTAGAAAGTTCTTTATGTTGTAGCCAGGAACTATTGCAGTGATTTAATTTACTCTCCTATATAATGCAGGGTATAGGACTGTCCTTAATCATGTAACACTACTTCAAACAGAAATTAATTCATTTTCGATAAAATATTTCACATCAATACATAGTTGTTCACTAGTACAAGATATAGTTGTGTGTTAGGTAATACTGAAGTGTAATTAAAGTGTTAATGAAACGTTTGTAGATGTTCTTAGCCCCAGAACAGAGTTGTGCAGTTGTAATAATGTTTGCTTATTTTTAGCATAATAAGTCACAGTCATTAGTACGGTGTGTAGAACTTAAATACAAAACACTAGTAGTTTGAATTTGAACCCTGAAGTAAGTGAAATCAGGGGCAAGGACCGATGTAGGGTTGGGGGGGATTCTGTTGGTTATTTAATTTGACTGACCTGAATGTTCAGCAGTTACTGAATATTGGCACCAGTGCATCAAATACGATCCCTTTGCACTGCCCAAGGTTGATTAACATCTATTCCCTATGAAGGCATTCAGTGCAGGCTTAATCAGCGTCTCTTCAATAACCTGTCCTTTCAACCCACAAAGGGATGGGAATGCACTACGTAGGAGATCAAAAATAATATTTCCTTTTTGAGAAAAATGGAAGGTAGCCTGGTACCCTTTCTTTTATTCATGTGCCTATAAGCTATCATCTCAAATAGCCTCCTTTTATGTGTTTGTTTACTTAAATTTTTTCCTGGCTTTCCTCTCTTAAGGGATGAAAAAAGGATCTTTCTGCAGCAGGAAAAAATTAGAAAGATTAAAATAGCATTTCAGGAGGGATGTATGACAAATTAGCTGAAGAAAAACTTCATTTTTTGACATGGCAATCATCAAAGAAAGATTCAACTAATACAGAAGAATCTTTCATATTCAAGATGTTCGCAGTAACAGCCCATTAAATTTTGATGCAGCAAAGGGACTGTAAAAACACCAACTGTCAGCAATTAGGTTACTAGAAGAATTTTGGAAATGTGAGCTCTGGCGCTGTTACACCTCAGTTTTAACGAGACTGCATGGAGGAGCTCTGACTCGCAGTGAGGCAGGCAGAGGAGGGCAGATGCCTCAGCTAAGAGGTGGGCATCTTCCATTAGGAGTTTTTGCCCTTGTTAAATTTAAAGAAATGGACACTTGTCTCGGGTGAGGACTCTCTGCTTCACACACACACAAACACCTTAGCTGTAAGGTTAAGCTGTAGTTGGACATCACTAGGTCTCTGTCGATGAATTCTACTTAGCCTAAATAGGAAGATAGTCACAACTAAAGTTTAAATAGTTTAACCACTGAAAAGAGCTCCAATAAGGTTTTTCTGTCCATGTGGGGATTTTACCATTTTTGTCTTTTCCTTCGTCCCCTTCACCTGGCTGTTTCCCAGCTGGGTCAAAGGCAAAGGGTGGACAGCTTAGCTGGCCCTGGGCAGAGCAGTTCCTTGGCCATGAGGCAGCTCTGCTGAACAATACAACCGATGCGTGTTAACTAGTTCTTCTGTAGTGAAGGCTGAGCTAAAGTGAGTTTTTTCTTTTTTTTTTTTTTGGCCTGTTCATTTATACGGTATTGCTGAATAAGACTTGAGCTGAGGACGCTAAAAGCAGAGCTGAGGGTCTGAGGTGCTCTGTGGTCGTAACACCAGCTTATTCTATGCTTGTATTATGTATAGACCTGATTGCCCACCACATTTTACTTAGTAAAGAGCATTATAGAAAATAGGCAATATAAGTTTATATCCTATCTTAACTTTCCTTCTTGCCCGAATAGACTTCAGAGATCTCTAGTTCAAGAAAAGGCAAGCGCAGGGCCAGACTACCCTGTATTCAAAATGGAGTTTGCATCCTGACATCAACATATATATATACATAGATACATATATAGACACACACATACACACATACATATATATATAGAGAGAGAGAGGCAAATTCCGTTGCAGCCTGGCTCGCCGCTTACCTCCAAGGAGCTTTGCAAATGTTACTTAACCTTCAGAACACCTTTATAACACGATTAGAAATGATCGGCTTTGCACCTGAGGAAAGCTAAGTGAGCTCCCCACAATCATTTAGGAGCAAAATAGTCCCGCTTCATTGTGCCAGCTTCTGACAAAATCGTCTCACTCTTATGTTTCAAGTGTTATTTAGGTAAAACTTTGGTGAATTTAACGGCAATGTGATTGCTATTTTTTTAGTTCAGCGTTCTGTTTGTGCATGGCTGTAGAGTGTATACGTAAAAGCTGGTAACCTTGCAGCTTATTATTTAAGGCAAACTGTTAAAATTATAGCAACAGATGTGCCAATCACAACTGAGAGTGTATCTGAGCTTGGCTGCATCTGTTCCTGAGCGGGCACAGGATCTGTCGCTAGAAACAAAGAGGTCACCCAAACAGACACTTTCCTTTGCTGCACTTTTAAGATGAAAGTTCCTCTTTTCATTATCAGAGCAATTAAGGTGTGTTACCTGCTGAGATGAACTAAAAGAAGTTCTAATTTTTTTTGAGCTGGGATGGGGTTGAGTGATCTTAATAGTCAGCTCTGTTTGAACTGGATTCAAGTTATTTGTCCTTTGAAAAGCAGAAATCAAATAAGCTTTATTCTGCTGTAAAGGTTGTTAAAAATGTTTCACTAGTGAAGCAGTCAAAACAAATACTCTCTTACAGAGGTGCAATACGTTAAAAAAAAAAAAAAAAAAAAAAAAGTAGGTGTTACAGGCACTGTCTGTGCTAACTTTTTTCAACGATTTTTGTCAAAGCCCCCACCAAAAGTCAAGGCTGTTGTGACGTGGAGTAAGGCTGCCAAGGGTAAGAAGAGCTGATTTTGCAACTGAAGATTGCTACATCTGGGAAATGCATTGGAGATGGCAAACATGTGCTTGGGGGGGGCGTGGGACTTTCCTGAACAAATACATTTCCTCACTAGAGAGAGTCTGTGCTGTACAGCTTGGAAACCTGCTGATGTTATCACAGTGACACCTCTAGCTGTTGTGGCACTAGACCTTGTGCCACCTGCATTCATATATAAAACACTAACATGTATGCATATAATTGTATAATAACAGCGTGTGCATTGGCCCTTACAGGGAAGAGACTTGTTAGCTCATTTCCTCATCACCATTTATTTTGCGAGGCAGGTAATAAGTAAGTAAGTGACTCAAAGGCACGGTTTGGAAAGGCCTGTGGGCCACTGGGACAGGACTGGTGGATGCAAATCTCTGCGATACACAGGAGGGTGGCTCTGCCTCTAGGAAAAAAAAAAAGCTGAAGCAAAGGGAGGCTTTTCAAGGCTGTCCCGTGCAGGGCGGTGCGGAGAAGGCCGAGGCCGGAAGGGTCAGCTCCAGCGGGTGCTTGCTCGGGCGGGCATTTGCCTGGATGGGGTGTCTTGTAGGTAAAAAAAAACAGGAGGAAAAAAAAAAAGAAGAAATCCTGTGACAATTGAGGTCTCCATGCCTGGCGTTCAATGACAAATGAAACTGTGACCTTTGTGTGCTGGCCAGAAGGCCGCTGCCCCCTCCCCCCCAAAAAAACCACTCTGCTCACCAGGCTGAAAAACCACTCGTGCTGGAAGAGGAGGCAACGCTTCCTCCACATCAGCTCGGTCTTACTGCGTTGCCCAAGTCTGGGCTTGGCGGGGAACTTCACAGCTCTCCTGACATCTGCTCTTGGGAGCAGAGGTGGTTTCTAGCTGCTTGTGCCACAATCTCCTTCCAGGCCTGAATTAATCAACCCTTTCCCACTGACGGGCCAATAAGCGCTATTTTCCTGGAGGACACGGCCTGCTGGATTACATAGT